TAAAACATATGTATTCTAAGGAAAAAAGAAAGCGCAGTTGTCGATGAGGAAAAAGGCTTTTGATGTCATTTGTCTATTATGGAAATGAGTGCTTTTTGAAGATTGATGAAAAAAAAAGGATGGCTTATTAATGCGTTAAAGTTTTATATCAGAATAAATATAAAAAAATGATAGGTGTAAGCAATAATAATGGAATATTGAAGAACCGGCAAAAAAAACGAGAAATTATCATAATATTAGGGGATAGCATTATTAATTGGGAAAAATAAAACCGGATGACAATCTGGAAAAATGCAAACCGGATATAAATAGACGTTAAGTTTATATTTTATCATTTATTAAATTAAAATTAATTAAAATGTTAAGGAAATGATAATATAGTTCCGGAAGGGTTTTAAATTTCCATTTAAATTATTGCAATATGAAAATGATTAGGAAAATATGATTACTTCATAAAATGTAAGCTTAGATGATCTAATTGAATAAATTATTTTGATTTTTTTATAGCAAATATCCAAAAAAAAAAAAAAAAACAAATTGTCGTGTAGAGAATCAAAATAGGAATCAGAAATTGAGTACTCTGATAAATAGAAATTGAGTACTATTTTAATATAATTAAGCATCTTAATAGATAATCAAAATTGAGCGTCATAATATTCAAATAGATTTGTAATGGTAATCATTATTTTAAGATAAGAATAGAATAAAGGACGGTAAAATAAGAATAGATAATGATAAAATTCCAATACATCCTATAATGTCAATTCCACTAGTCCTCTTCTTTTTTTAAAGTGAAAATAAAATTTTTCACCATATCTTCAACGATAATATCATTTAATCTTATCAATTATTGATAAATTAAAATGATTAAAGTATTGAATTAATAATAGTTTTTTGATTTTTTTTGGCTTATTTTTTTGCAATTATTTAAGTGAATTATTGAAATTATTGCCAAAAATTATTTGAGTAATTTGTTATCAGAAAATGATTAAGTTAATTATCATTTTTTTCAACTTTCAAAATTTTACACATTTGATGAAAACTCGTAAATGTAACTGAAATTTCAAAATAAGTATAATTCAAATTTTAATTTCATACTTTTCGAAAGTGTAACTTTTTTTTTCCTTGAAATCTTGAACATAATCATAAAATTATTTTTAAATATTATGGAAACATTATCAATGAGGCATATAAATTACCATAATATCATACATATTTTGATACTAACTTCGACATATTATTTTTTATTAACACATATTTTTGGATTTACTTATAATTATTTACAAGTAATTATTTTTTCATCTACAATCGTTTTAATTCGTGGATTTGATTTACTTATAATCATTTTATTTGATATTATTCACTCTTATCGATAATCATGTTATTCACTTATATTCTCATATTTGTAATACTTATTAAAACTTATTCATTTCTAATTTTTTTATAATAATTGAATCATTATTTCAATTGTATTCACGTATAATAACAATATTCACGTATAAGAACTTATCATGTAAGAATATTACTTATCATATTACTTATTACTTATCATGTTATTACTAATCATATCACTTATCATGTAAGAACTTATCATGTCCACGTGTAAGAATTTATTACATTGAACTTATCATATTAACTGTCATATCACTGTAAATAAAGAAAAAAAAAAAAACAAAAGAAAAAAAGAAAAAGATTAATGACGAGAAAGCAAAAAGACGAAAGTCAGTAAAATGAATCAAAAATAAAATAATGAAGGAAATTTGAAATTGACACGAAATTTGTTATCCATCTTCCTCCTCAAAATTCATACTTTCTCGCTAATTTAATCAAGGTATTCAGCATATTGATTTTACATTTCTTATGCCAACTTTAAATTTGATTATTTTAATCATTCTACATTTAGTTTCACCAATATCGTTATTTCATTACGAATTTTATTAAGTGATGAATGTGAATTCATAATAAGGCAAAAATATGACAAATATAATGAAGCCTATTCTAATTAATTAGTCATATAAATGTTCACTCACTCGAGAAAAAAAAAAAAGGGAGGGAAAGAACTAGGAAGAGAAAATAATTTTCATCATATTTTTCACTAGCTTATTTGCGCATGCATTGAATTATAATATATCTTCAGTAACTATGATAACAATTATATTTGACAATCAATGCTATTTTTACTATTTTCATGTTTAAAGAAATTTAATACTATTTTTAGGAATTTTAAGTTTAAAAAATATTTGATATTATTTTTAGTATTTTTGAGCCAACTGAGGTTCAAGGATATTCATTGATATCGTAATTATCCATAAATTCAAGATTACAAAAGTCGGAAAAAGTTTTCTCATTAGATTTTGCAAATTCCGACAATAGTGATGATAATTGCCGAGAAAGCATTCAAAAAAGTAATTAAATGATGAATGATTAGTGAATAATTTAAAAACTAAAATATTTCTTCTAATATTTGAATATAAAATAAAAATAAAAAAAAAAACCAAAAAAAAAGAAAAAAAAGCAGAAAATAAACGAAATCAATGAGAGAAGGAAATACAATATTCATTTGGAAAATGTTAACTTTTAAGTAATTTGTATTGAAAATTGAAAAAAAATAAATATCAGTATTGTGGCAATGAAAAAATTATCTCTTTACAATAATTCAGCTAATCAGTTATTGATTAAAATTACTTAAACAAATAAAAATTAGATATTTAAAAAATAATTTTTTCTAAAAGAAAATAAAATGAAACTGAAATTTAATAAATGAGTAATGTATACAAATAATAAATTGATTGAAACCATTCAACTAATTAATACTATGCATTTGTTTTACATGTAAATAAATATTACTAAATGATTTGAATTTTATATTTCGTATTAAATCATTTCCAATTAACAGTAAGACTATAATGTTTCTTTCTAACTATACTAAATTAAGATCCGCTCTATACTACAATCATTAGAACTAAATAAAGATCTAGAATTGAAGGAGTAAAAGTAAAATCAATTAGGGATGGAAAATACACCTCTCACGCACGTTTACATACCACGCATACGCATATGGATACACCTACACGTGTCCGTCCGCGCATACCCACATACATACACCTACACACACGCACCCGCACATACTCCCACAATATATATATATATATATATATGGATATACCACTTACATATATCACCCTAGCCCAGACATATGGTGTATGCACTCTTACGCATATATACACCCCGCATATACCCAATCGCGCAGATATATGAATACACCCACACAAATGCATGCACCAGTAAACGCCCACGCTCACAGACTCACAGACATGTGGATATGCCCACCACACATGTTACAGACATATGGATATGCCCCCATATATACGTAGCCACACACGTGTATACACCCACATATACGCACTCACGCAGATACATGGATGCATCCATATAAATACGGAACCACATGTATATATGGCTGCATTTGTCGCTACACTTATCCGTCTACACCCACACATACGCACTCATATACATGCATAAATGCACGTAGATGTAAATATATTGACATTAAAGATATTTTTTCCAAATTTCTAAATTTGAAATAATTTTCTGAAAAAAAAAAGCATATTCAATGACTAATTATTATGCTTCAAAAGATGAATGTGTTAGGGCTTTAGCTGTATAGGATAATGTATTGAACAAAAAAAAAAAAAAGGATGTACTAATTTATTGTTATGGTTTGAAAAGAAAAAAAAAAAACGAAAACGAAATATAAATATGAAGCAGATAAAAAAAAAGTTTGAAAACAAACAAAGTCAATTTGAAATTTGGAAGGATTATTGGATGATAATGATTAATGATTAGTGATTGATGATTAATATTTCCTTTATCGATGACTACTTCAAATTGTTGTTTTTTCTTTTTTTGGATTTTTCTTTTCAATTTTTTTTTTCTTTCTTATTATATTTATATTGGTATCAAATAAAAAATTTGTATGAAACAATCAAATTTGCCAAAAAATGCAAACAAACAATTGCAGATATTACAAACGTGCGCAATTTAAAAAAATTTCTTAAATTTTCATTTCTCATTAAAAAAAAAAGTTAGGAAAAAGCAACAAAAAAAAAAAAAAATGGGAAGAAATGTTATTTATGTAAAAAAAAAAAAGAAGGTAAACAAAATAAAGTTCGATAGTCCTTGTCGGTTTTTTTTTTGAAAAATGGAAAAAATAAAAAAAAAGCAAATGAACTGATTTAGCTTATTAACACAATTACGAAAATAAAGTTAAAATTTATTGACGAATTGTTAAATTCACACTAAAATCGAATTGCTTACTAATTTGGACTTATTTAATTGTTTTGTTTAATTAGCTTTATTTTATTGCCATAATTTTATATTCAATCGGTTTCAATTTAGATGCATATTTATATTTAGTATACATGATAGAATGATTGGTTTTGATTCGAGGATTTTATTAATTTCTGGAATTTAATTATTGAAATAGCAATTTTGGTAATTTATTTATTGACTATAAAAATTTTGCACACATTACTATTGAGAGTAATAAGAAATAAATTGTTTTTAACCGGTTTTTATATACAAATTTCTTTTTTATCAAATTAATAATTCATTTTATACAACGGTAACGTTAATCAGAAGCATTCGAGGTTAGATTCGTTAGGATTCGGAATATGAATTTTGAAATTTTCATGCAAAATTACGGATCACAATTACGTTTCCCCGATCATTAATTCAATTTACGCTTAGGCAAATGTCAATCCAAAATATTCGAATTTGAATTTGTCAGGTACAATCGCAAATGGCACGTTTCACGCAGTCACTCGTTGTAAGACAACGTTAATCAGAATCAAGTTGAATTCTTCGTACAAGCTAATGAGTTTTTAAAATTTCATGCAGAATTACAGATAACACTTTTCATGCGGCCAGTAATTCAATTTATGCTTAGACAAACGTCAACCCGAAATATTCGAATCCGAATTTTCCATTTAATAGAATTTTCAAATTTTCATACAAAATTGCGGGTGATATAGTCAGTTTCACGCAGTTAGTCATTCAATTTAAGTTATGGTAACTTTAATTAGAAACATCGAAATTCTTTGTATAACATTTTTTTTCATATTTTTTCATATAAAATTTTTTTCTCAAAATTTCAAGAATATTCAAATTTTCATCTAAAATTGTAAATGACACCTTTCACACCACAAAATTTAAAAAAAAAAAATGACGAAATGGTAGAAGGAATAATCTAACAATCAAAAAAAAAAGAAAAGAAATGAGATTAAACACTAACAATGTTCATTGTTCTTGAATAAAATAACACAATATTTAATTATTATTTGTGATCAAATTCAAGAATAGTTATACTATTTCATCAAATTAACACATTTGATCATAATCAAATATATAATAATTAAATACTTGTTTAAAATATTATTTATTTTTAAATTAATATTTCAAATTAAAAACTGTACAAATTGTTTCAACAAAATTTTGTATCAAAGTTTTTTGCGCTTGATGATTGGCAATATTTCGTAATTTTGCATTAATAACGGATAGCTTTGTATCAATACTTTTGAATGTATCATTTAATCGGTTTACTTTATTGGTTAGTTCGGTTATTTGCTGGAAAAGCGCAAAAGTAATTTAAAATTTGAAAAATGGCTTAATGAATATATCGAAAAAGGCTTCAAAAAAAGAAAGGGGAAAAAAGCTCTATTTAAGCTTTTTAAAGTTAAATTTAAAATTTTGCCAACGAATTTATAGCCTAGCTAATATATGCATGCAAATTTTTCTTTCTTATATGAAATTCAATAATTTTACGAAAAATTTTTGTTCTCCTTTTTTTACCCTTTTTTTAGTCAGAATGAAATTAAAGTTTTAGTTTGCATTTTTATTATTAAGAAAAGATCGAAAAATTGATCTATTAAGCAAAAAAAAAAAAAATGTTTTTTGCATATGATTAGAAGTGAGATCAAAGGTCAAAAAAATTGCAAAAAAAATATTTACAACTAATATTGATGAAAAAATTTTTAAAAAAGATGAAAAAATGCAAAAAAAAAAATGGAGCAAGCGAAGAAAAAAGTTTGAAAAGTGAAAAAAAACGAAAGAAGATTGTGGATGCATAAAGTTTTGCAGTAGAAAATTATTAGAAAGAAATAAAACTGAAATTTAAAATCCAGAATTTAAAATTTTAGCTTCATTACAAAATTTTTATATTTTATTTTTTCTTCCTTTTTCAGTTTACTGTCAGATTTTTGATCAAATTGTAGGAAAAAAAAATGTGCATTTTCTAAATTACCGAACGAATTTTTCATGAATCAATTTTAACATTTCTCTTTTATAAATAAATACACTTTATCTTGAAATATTAAAACATATAAAAAAATGAAATTGCAAAAAAAAATGAAATTTAAAAATTTCACCGATTTCAAAATTTTCACAACAAACATTTTTTTACTGACCATAAAATTTGCATTTATTTTTCGCATTCAACAAACTTGGGAAAAAATTTTTGATAAATAATGAGAGAAAGAGGGAGGGAAGAGAGAGGAGAACGATAGGAAATTTCAAACTTAAATTTTATCAATTTTTCTATAAATATGTTTAAAAATTATTGTTAGAAATAAACAAACCATTGTATGTAATTCATCCAATAATTTAATTTGCTTATCAAATATATCATTCTGTGCTTGCACATACTGATAATATTCATCGCGAGCTTTTTTCAAAGTCTCAAAAAAAAAACGAAAAAAGCTTATAAATACAATAAATTTGATGAAATTTTTTTTTAAAAATTTTTTTTAAAAAAAATAAATTTGATATATATATATATATATATATATATATATATAT